AAGCGGCCGACAAAAAATGAGGCGGGCAGAAAGGTTTTTCAAAGGGCTCTGAAAAAGAGGGGAGGTCGGAACCAGCAATCACAGGGTCAAATCGGATTAAACATAGAATATCCCCTGGCAGTATTAGAAATTTCTGACTTAGTATTCCTGGATTGAATTATTCTTGTCATAAACTATACTACTGTAGTGCACATTCCTTTAATTCTTTATGTTTTGCCTCAGAGGTGGCAGAACAGTAAGTTAAATGTCGTTTCAACTCACCATTGTCCGCCATGTTCGCGATCACCAGTTCGTTTTGAGGACATTTCAAGAACTCATATCTGAAGTAACACATTGTTGTCATAGTTGCTGTAGCTTTCCCGCCAATTTTTACCATGTGACTCCTTCCCATGTCCGCGCTCGTCCGCGCCAATATTCGAGTGTATCATCGTGCACGTAATTTGAGTTGCTCGAGTTTGTCTTACAAAGTTGACCTCGAACTAACTGGGTTTTCGGAGAATCGAAGCAGATTTGAAGACTTTAAACGGTGAGTAACAGTGTATTCTTGTCCACTTGGTGTCAAGGCGCGGCAAGAGATTACTTTAGCTCGCGGACTAAAACACTTGGTGCAAAGAAACCTCGGTTTGTAAGTGCATGGATTATTAGTTTAGTGAAACTTGACGTCAGATTGACAATCTGGTATCGGATCCGCAGATTCTAAAGTTAACACGCAAGTTGACAAGCAAGTGAAATTTAACATTTCTTGCCGATGTCGTTTTCTACTTTGTATTTCTGGATGCATAGCATCATTTTTTTGGCTTGTTCATACTTTGAAGCAGTGTTGTTTATTTGAAATGCAGTTGTCCATTTCACTCACGTGGCAAAAACTTCCACAATGCATGCTAATTTGTGGTCAAGATTGATAAGGTTAAGTGTGCTTATTCCATCATTCCAGTTTTTACAAATCTGACTTTTTCTAGCTACTAGAACTTCATAGAAGAATTGGGCAGTAGCTTGATTTCTACGGAAATCTTACCCTTGGTCGGTCATGTTATGGGAGCAAGAATTATTTTCATCTGTTGACAGTTGCAAGGTTTTTATCTTTGTGTGGGTGTGAATTTATAGATCACTTGCATAATTTTCCATTAAGTTCCAACACGTACTGCATGCATAATAAAATGTATTGTGCAAGAAGCTTAAGCAAAATTTGGATGATAAGTATTTAAAAATTTAATGTCAATTATCTTTTTTGCAAGTTTAACATGGTTGCCACAACGTGGTGTGCACTACACTGTCAAGTATAAACCCTGGAACATAAACATCTTGTTTATTAGCTACCACTGGGATTCAATTTCATTCATATTCTTGCTTTGTTAAACTACAGTGTATAGAATTATTATTTGTGGACCTTGGACCTTGACCACGGGCAAGAACAACTCTTTTTGTTCAACTAGCTGAATTTAAAATGTTGAATAATCTGATATGAACCAGCTGAAAATCAAGTGTAAAAGGAAATAGCTTAGATTGCTGTGGTTAGCTTGCTGTCACTCTCAGTGATGCAAATCATGGCAGTTTTGAATAATAATATTTTGACGTTGATGGGCGTTGCATCCTTGTGGGTGTAGCCTGCTAACCTAACCAAGCGTCATACGTCAAGAGGCTGTTGAACAAGGTGGTTAAAAATATGTTAAACAATGGTGTCTTCTTTTCACAAGAATGTATCTTTTTTTAAAAAAATACTAATTGTTACATGTATCTAAGCATTGATCGTCTGGAATGTTTCACATTGCTTTTACGTAGTTTATTCTTTCCTCAGAACACTACCTCTCCTTTGTTTGACAATGTTAAAAATTAAACTGTTAAAAGTAAATTTTATTAGTGTTAATAATATTAGCATTATCATTATTATTGTTGATTTATTGGTTGTATCAGATCATCGCAGTAATGATACCATAAACCTCTCTTCAGCAGTAGCTAACTTGTTTTTATGGAAAGCATAATATCTTTTTTATCACTGTTCAGTGACGAAACCTAAAGGAAAAAAAATTATCAACACTGGATAATCTACTGCAGTGTGAACTATTCATTTGTTTTTTTCATTTATTAGTCAATTCAATTCAATTCAATTCTTTATTTCCCACCAGATAAGATATTTACATAAGTGTACGTAGGTAGGAAAATAAAGTAGCTGACAAATAATAATAAACTAAAAGACATTAAGTTCGTTTCTGTACAGTGTCCAAAGTAGCAAGAGCTTTCTTGTTGGACACCGTCGTGTTCAAATAATCAGCAGCAGTAAAAAGAGGAATAAAATCTCAGATAATATCAGTGATAGAACATATAACCAAGGTCAGGTTTGGTTGGTTAGAAGATAGGACTTCCATTCTTTCTTAAACTTATGATATGGCAGACACTTGAGACAAGGCAGTACAGTCTCCCAGATTTTTGGTGCGGAGAATTTAAAGGATGTCTTACCTAAGTTGGTGATACTCTTGGCCTAAAATAATTCAGATTACTGACAAATTTTGTATTCACAGAAATTGTCATAAGGGAGTGGTTACTACGGTAGTAAATTAACTTCAAAAAGTAACCTTATTGACAGGTTTGTTTTTGTATTACATTGACTATAATAAGTTTTGAAATCAAAAGTACTTGTAACTGACCAGGACATAACATGCTTAAATTTGTTGATGCAATGGCAGATACAAACCCGCAATATTCTCGTGCTTTTAATCCTTGTTTCTTTTCATCAATGATTATGATGATGATGATTTCTAAATATCTGGACATGAGTTAATTTATAAATAGTATGTTTGTTACAACGCGGCTCCAGTAACTGGTAGTTTAAGCTTGTGTTGCTCAAAGTGGTGATTCATAAACCATGGGTTTAGTGAAGAATAAATGATGTTGCTAGTTATCTAGTGCTTGAAAATGATTTATGTAACTGGTATGTTTGATCAAGGCTTTGAATAATCAAGCCCTGGTTTTTTTTTGTCTTCAGTCTCTACTTTTGTTACTCTCTACAACATCCACCTCCACAAAACGGCCAATTTGTACTGTCCCGGCCAACCATAGTGCAAACTTTCAGTCTAGTTTTCACCTTCACTACAATGACCTCCTTTCCAAAATGTAACGGCCACTCAACGTCATCACACGGCTGCCAAAATAACCTTTGCACTGTGGTTATTTAAAGGAGAGTAATGTACAATCTAATGATCACTGTACCTTATTCACATTATTTATGTTTCCGTGTAAGTAATATAATTTTGATTGTGCTGCACAGTACTCTGCTATACGCATTTGATTGATCTTAATCAGTTTCTTTTGTTTCCAATTTGAACAAAAACTGCAAAGTATGACAACACGTTTTTTGCATCTTTTATATCTCGAAAACAAAGCTCAAAGTAGCGGATAAAGTTCAGAACAGTGTTTGTTTACTAAATCAAAAGTCACATGCAAAAATTCAGTGGCTTTGAAGCACTTTCAAAAATGACTAAAAAATGAACAGGTCGCTCTTGCAATGAGCCTTTCAATAATTTTCTACCCTTTCATCTAGGTGACTGTTCTAGAGTTTTTCCAAAATATTTAAAATGGCAAATCTTAACACAGTTGTTTCCTTTTTATGACAGACTGTTACAAGTGTGTGTTGCTGACCGAAAGCCATCATGTGGATTCAAGTAAGGACAATGGATGGTCAGAGAAGTACGCAGGTGGATCAGCTAAGCAAGCTCACAAAAATTGAAGAGCTTCGCATCAAACTGGAAGCCGCATTTGAAGTATCCCCCAACATGCAAAGGCTTTTCTTTAGAGGCAAGCAGGTAATTTATTTGGCTGCGTTATGCTAACTCCCTGAGTTGTGGATTTATTTCTCCCATCTTTGTATTTAAGTTAATGTCCTTCTTCATGGCAAAGGATTTATCTCTGCATTGCGCCTTTTCTGGTCTGATAAAGGCATAAGACATTGGCTATACGAAACTGTACAAATGTAACAGTACTTGCTATCGCCAGAGCCTTGTTGCCTTATTCTGTAATATAGTAGTTCTGTTCTTTCTAATGTTTACTTAATGATTTTAAAAAAAGTTGTTTGTCTTCTTTTTAACCCTTTCATCCCAGATTAGTTATGGCCACAATTTGTTACTCCAACTTTTTATCTTATGAATGAAACCCTCTTTTGTTACCATTCAAATGAATCCTTAGGCAGATCTTCTACCTCATGCTATTTATTTATATATTTATTTATTTATAAGGGTTTTATGAGATGAGTAGTAGAGGGTGATGACCATTGCTATCACACAGTGTACACTGCTAAAAGTAAAGTTGAGCAATCATTGGAATTTTTATTAACATTTCCATTTTGGACAATTTGTCCTGAGTACACAAAATGTTTAATTGAAATATTGTACTTTAAATTCTCATGAGTCATCTCATAAAAATCGTAGTGTAAAAATATTTGAAACAGTACTTGAAATTGAAAACGTGCATTTCAATGACACTTCAAACTTATTTTATTCGATGTGCATGAACATGAACATGTATGATGAGGTGATACAATAGATGAATACAAACTGCACATGCTTCTAACTCCATTTCAAGCAAATACAACTACCTTAGGGCTAGTATTTAGAATGTATTGTCCCACTAACATCCCCATTTGCAACAGTCTCCTTTTCTTTCTTCTTACATCAGGACAGAAACAAGAAAATAAAGGAAAAAAAACGTACAATTTATTTCATTTGTTTGAGTCATTAAGGCCTCACTGTATAGCTCAATAATACATCACATACAGTGTATATAACAGTAGGGACTCTGTAACATGTAGTGAGCATGATACTTGCAACCTTGTGCCAAAAAAATATATAGATGAACAGCTACAGTTTGTTTACTATATTTTTTTTCAGGCTCATTTTCTTTGAAGATATCAAACATTTTAAAATTATAATCTTGTTAATATTTTTTTACCATTATGGTCATTTTCAGTTAAGCTTATTAGTTCAGAAAACAGAAGTCTTTTGAAGTGGTTTATAAGGGTTTGGATCTCAGCCAGATCAACAGGCATGACTTCCGTACCATTCTTCTGGATGGTTTCCAAAAGTGGAAATAATATTGTGGAATAAATTGGTGTACTCAAGCAAACATCACCATAGAAATGTCATAGGAGCTCATTACATGAGCTTGAATTAATATTACACGACATCATAATGGGAATGATGCTGAACTGCTAAAAGTACAACTGGAGGACTTTCAACCTCTGTCTTTGTTATCTATTGTGTAACATCAAAAAAGGGATATAATTTAAGCTTTGCTTGATTCGGCAAAGTTCAAAAGTTAAATATGCTAGTGCATGGTACATTTAACCATTAGTCTTTTTGCCAAATACAATGCAAGAGTTTCTTTGCAGCAATTTGAAATTGGATTCAATTTACCAATGGTGATCACCCCATACATACTATAATATAAAAACATAAGAAAGAATGCGATTTGCTCAGTTGACCCTCATAAGTGTGAGAATATTATGGTAGAATCAGTAACAAGAATTAAGTTTCAAAATGGATGTAGTTTCATCCAAAATATTGTATAAATAAAAAAAGAAGGGGAAATCTTGAAAATTGCACCATTATTTCCTCTATTATAGATGGAAGGCTTATTAGAGGCCCAGAGTGTAATGAAATGTTCATGGTTTGGATGAAACAACATTCATTTTGAAAGTCATATTTTCTTTTCTGCTGATTCTACAGAAAAATATGGTTTATTACACTCTCAGCCTCTAATAAGCCCCCTGTCAGTAAGCCCCTGGTTCATAATAGAGGAAATAATGATAAACTGTACATGTACATTTAACATTTAAGATAATCCCCACTTTTTTTGGAAATTTATTATTATCACTAGTCATATTGTGGGGGATTTCTGAGATAAAGAGCAATAAATTTGTTAAGTTCAATACTTGATAAGTGATAAAAATTGAACATGTGCACATGTAAGTTCAAGATCTGTACTGTAAGTTAGACACCTAGTCTGAGGGGAAGTACTCCGGATTTCAGGTGATTGGGATGATCGAATGGGGGCAAAACTCAAAACCCCAAAAAATCCCTGGATCAAAAATTAACCCCCCCCCCAAAAAAAAAATCCCATGCTTAATTTCCAAGCCTTAAAAATTTCCAGAAAGCTTTCAAATAGTGATATAACACAAAAAATAAAAACATTAGAAAAAAGCATTTACAGCACTATGGGGCCGGGATTTGCATGCACTACCAGGAATCTTCAGATTGTTTTGAATACCCCAAGAAATCTCTACTTAAAGCAAGCCACCCAAAAAAATCCCGGTATCAAAAATTTCAAACTCAAAAAAATAGTTCGATCATCCGTGTCACTTGAAGTCCGGAGTACTTCCCCTGGGCACCTAGTTTATAATGACTTGTGCCCTTCAGGCTTGAACCAGAAATCCAAGCAGTAAAGAAAAAAGAACAGAAAAAATTGTAGTGCATCTTTTTCATTGTGTTTGACAGCATTTAACCAGCACAAAGTTGACTTTTAAAATTTGTGTGGTTGTCATCTGCTGTAAATGTCATTTAAAATCTTTCTAATACCAATAATTTTATTTCTGTATTAATTTATCCCTCTTTTAAATTTGTTTAATTCCTAGCTCGAAGATGGTCACACACTATTTGACTACAACGTTGGGTTGAACGACATTGTGCAGCTGATGATAAGGACAGCTCCACCAACCGCTGATGACAACAGTAAAGGCAAAAAAGAAACTAAAAAATCAGAAAATAAAGGATCCTGCGATTCACTCGTTAATGGCCATGTCTCTAATGATGATGAGGTATATTTGCAAGAATAAAAATTAAATTTGTAATTAGAAGGGGCAGGCTATAAAGGATTGATTTTACTGCAAATAATGATCTATAGAAGCCGTTCATCTATAAGATGCCTAAATTGTGTGTGATTCCACAATGTTTTGGCTCCATCAACAGTCTATCACTGAGATCTTTTCTCATATTGTTAATGAAACTCAGCAACAGTAAGTAGCCATGAGTGGCACAACTAGCACCATCATGGCAGCAAAAAGAAACATGCTTACTACCAGTGGTAGTGTCGCCAAATGTCGGCTGTTTTCTTGGGCTACAGTTTACTATGCACCAACCAATTACTTCTGAGAGGGGCCAAGCTAGAAGGCACAAACCCTTCCCCAAACTCTCAGTCAAATCTGTCTTCCAGATTGAGCACTTATTTTGGGCACAGTTGCTCTGAGAGCTCTATAATAAACCAATGAATAAATGCAGTCAAAGCTCTATTTGTGGCCACCTCTCATAGGCCACCTGTAGCTGTTCTTGTGGCTGTTGTTTAACAACACATATTTCTCTCAGTCTTCGTTTTGCTTTACCAAAGAATATCTTTTATCTGTTTGGTCACATAAAGGCCCAAGCATTTTCAATTTAGGAACTATTGTTTTTTGAAGTGGGACTCAATGGTTCTGGAGTGGGACTCATGATATTTCACAAGATGAGTCTTAGGACTCACCATAACTATTTGTAACAAAATCACTGGTTACAACAAGGAACTACACTATAAGTAACTTTGAAATTAAATGCAATGAATTATTTGCCAAAAAGTGGATTTGACCGAACCTCTTCTCAGAGAGACCCTGTACGGCTTGATTATTGTAAGCAACCTCCTCCCATACATTTTGGGTGGTCCCTTACAAGAGGTTCAACTATACAGTCAACTCTTTTTGAGATGGACACCTTGGGGACCTGCAGTAGGTGTCCGTCTTAGAGAGATGTCCGTTTTACAGAGAGTCAAAGAAAGGGAGTAAAGAAAGGCAGGGACCAACTCTGAGTGTCCATTTTACAGAGGTGTCTGTTAAGAGAGAGTAGACTGTAGTATCTTTATAGCTGGCTAGTCTCCCAGCCCCCTTTTTTGAATGATCTGCGATCCGGGCCTGCTAGGGTATCCTATAAAGGTAGCAAAAGGCTTTTAAAGAGAGTTACTTTATGGACAATGCAAGTAAACTGCTATGGCTTCCACAGAAGAGTAGTAAAACTACTGATGCCACTGTAAATGTTATCTGAACACTCAGTACTTTTAGTGTGGTCTTAGGTTTAACTAGTGTAAATTGTATTCAAGATTCTTCAATCTCACTTCTCTGTTTAAAGAGGTTCATATTTCTTTAATTAAGGATATGGAGGACAACAAAAGTGAACCAGGCACATCAGAAGACCAAACTTTGAAAAGCGTTTATAAAGTGCGTATCATGACTACCAGTATTTTTATTAATTTATTAATTGTTTATTAATTGTTATTCTTAAATATTTTTTTGTTTATAAATTCTTTTGCCATTTCTTCTTTTGGTGTACACTGTATCAAACCCCTGATGGTATAATTCATTAATAATTTTTACTGGTTTATACATTCTGTTTCTCAGAAAGGTGAAATGATAGATGCTAAAGATCCCACCATGGGAGCTTGGTTTGAGGCAAAAATAATGGACATATCATTGGCAGATGAAAATGACCTGTCTTCCATTCTGTATCATGTGGTTTTTGATGGGTAAGACACAATACTACTCTCTTCCTTGAACAGCCATTTCATACTAAGCAACCATTAAACAGTCAATCAGTTCTGCTGTCAAAGGTTCAATCAATCAGTCCATTACTAAATGTATTGTTTGGTCAATGAAGATTCAATAATGACTGTATTTGTAGTGAGGAGAAAATATTATGTCATGTTGCCATGGTAGAAAATTTCTGGATGACAATAAACCGAAAACATCAAGGTTGTATTTCTTAGAATTCCCACAAGTTGAAATAAATTTTGAAATTTTTCTGTCCAGTGGTGAATAATATGATAAGAATTTCAAAGAAAGGTGTTTTTATAATTTGTTGCTGAAAGGCTGTACATCCACCACTTTCACTAAATTAAGAAGGTGTAAAGAAGGAAGGTTATTGGTCCAAAAAATTAGTACATAAAATTTGTTTTCTTATATCCTTCAAGAAGTTGTATATTGTGTAGGAGGATATGATGTCCCTTTAAAGTCACTTACTGATATCAGTTCTTCTTGTTAATCTATAGATACGAGGAAGATGAGATACACAAACTACCTGAGAGTGCTATCAGACCCATAGCAAGAACAGCGCTCACATGGGACCAAGTGAGTATGTCATTGATCTCAATCAATACGTGTAGATGAGTTTTGGAACTGGTGACCAGAAAGCAGAGGGGGTCACTTTGGCCACCAGCTCAGGATGGTGATAACCATGGCAACCTGTAAGCAGAAACCTCCCCCCCTTCGCCACAAATGACCTTATCAAAGCTTTATCAGACTTGAACATCAGTGAAAATATTATACTGTACCCCCTACACCAACTTCTTGTTAAACCTGCAAAGAACAAAAATCCATGGTGGGTTGGAAGATTCATCTTTAGCTACCTCAAAATGCTGTTATTTTTGTTCCGAATTCCAATTGATTTCTACCACCCATATGTAATGTCATACTGTTATTTTCTTTATCTTTCTTCCCAGATTTCAGTTGGTCAGATAGTGATGGCTAACTACAATCCAGATGAACCAGATGAGAGAGGCTACTGGTATGATTTCAAAATCACAAAAAAGGTACTGAGGAAATGAAAATAGTATAAGGCAGAGGATCTGATTTGCTTGTTCATCTCATCTGATATATTTTCTACCCTTGGATTAATTTGACAGTATGATGGTCTTACAAGAAACAGCAGAGAACTCTATGCTAGATTATCATTAGGGTAAGGAAAATAATTTTGTTCTTTCCCGGCGAAGGAAGTGCAGTAATCCAGAAACTCCCAAAGTTAATTGTTGGGACATGGGAAATTCCAGTTTTCCAGTATTTCACAAAACGTTCCCTTGTTTGTTTATGTTTCTTTCTATCTGAGGCTACGTTCACAAGGCACACTGTGAATTTTCAAGAAGACTGAACTTTTGATGAAGATGGAAATGGATTGCACTTTTATTGTTAGCCTAACAGTATTTTAAAGTTCATTTTTGTTTTTAGTAATGTTTGCAAATATGACTTGGGAGACATTAAGCTCTGATTTTGTCATTGACAAGTATACTACACTGTAGTTTTTCAAGTTCCATTGAGAATAAGGATGCGTAATTGGCATAATAGAAAAAGTGAACTAGCCAGCTGTGACACAGTTCAGCCCCTTAAATGAAAAACAATTTGAATCATAATGTGTTTCTGGGAAACTGCCCACCTACCCCTCCCTTAAGCCAACATTTTGCCCTAAAGGAGAAGTAAGTGTTAATGTTGGCTTAGGGGAGGGGTAGGTGGGCAGTTTCGCAGAAACAGAAAATGATCCAACAATCGTCTTTTTATTGAGCACTATACACTGTATTAAGCATTGACCTAGCCTTTGTTGCTTTTTTGGTTTAAGAACCAGCACAGAAGACACAGTTTCTCAGGAATGTAGACTCAAATTCATAGACAAAGAAATATTCAAGATTGAAAGTCCCCCAGGTAACTGGTTTAGCACTTATTTGCAAAATTACTGGTGCTTTCTTGTATCCTTCCATGACCCTTCTAACTTTTAGCCTCCAAAAAATGCATAGAATGGTTTATGTAGTTGAAGTTCATGAGTAAAAAGTAAGTGTAAAGATCCTTATTTTGGTTTTTCAGTAACTCCTACAGCCTGTAACAGTAATTCAACTGACAAGCCTGAGGCTGACAGTGCGTTCATTTTACCCTCTTTCTCAACATCAGTGTTCCATTTTATGGGTATTTAAAGCTACATGGAAAGGTCAAAAGTGGAAGCAAGCACTTGAAGTCACTGCTACGAATCAAACTTAGAACCTGTCCCACAGAAGGCCACATACTATCAGCTGTGCTAATCCTTGCTCCTTCAACCCTTTAAACCCTAAGATCAAAATTGGAATTCTCATTTGTTACTCCTATTCATTTCCTACAGAAGTAGTTGGGAGAAGTTGGTAAAATATCAAGCAAATTCGTCTTGTGTGATCATGTCCGTAATTCTCATGACCACTCTGTTTTACAAAGCATTGATATTACTAAGAGAAATTTAATGCTGATGACTTGCAGGGATTAAAAGGTTAAATTAAGTGACAAAATTAACTCAAAAGCTTGTTGTATTTTGATGTACTGTTTGTAGATCCTAGCAATTCTGAGGAATCCACAAGTTCACTTAATGGAAAAACATCCCCAGCTAAAAGTATGCATTGTATCATTTTGAAATACTGTGTTAATAATTTATTTATTAGTTTTGCATTTTTTGTATGTTTCTGCAGCTGTATTTGAACACGTATATTCTGTAATTTTATTTCAGTTAATTTTTTTTCTTGGTCTTTCAGGGCAGGTGAAACCTGATTGCAATTACTGTAAAGATAATCCAAATAAATCCTGCAAGCATTGTGCATGCCACAAGGTACTTCATATATCATTGAGTAGTATGGAGTGTTAGGGAGTGATAATTAATTTTAGGGAACATAGCATACTTGGCCTTTCCTCCACTCCTTCCTCAACCTTACCTTTGCTGTTACCCCCTCCCCCAAATGTGCAAGAATGCTGATCTAACAAACATGCATGTGTATCTTGCTACCATTTCTACATGTAAATCAGTTCTCAATAGTCAAAAGCTACCTTAATCTGTTCACTCCTAGGCCAACAATGAAGGTCAAAAGTGTAGGGAACTTCCCAGTGATAATTATTAGCAAACTGGGGACCTCTCCCCTCTCACCCCAAACAATGTTGAATGGGTAGAAATGAGTCCTCTTTAGGTTGCAACATTACTGGGGAAGGGCTGGGGGATGGAGGGGTGAACTTAAAGCAAATCAAAAAATTGTCATTAGGAGCAGACTCCTATGTCACAATAATTCCTTGGAATGTTTTTTTCAGCTGTCCCAGGATATTTTGTCCCTCTAACATTTTATTCTGAGTGAGTTAGCCAAAATTTGTCTGTTTTGTTCATTTGTCTTCTGACAGTGTGGTGGAAAGGAGAACCCAGGTGACCAACTGCTGTGCGATGAATGTGACATGGCTTATCATATTTACTGTTTAGTTCCTCCACTTGAAAAAATTCCTGATGACGACGAATGGTAAGAAGTTTTCTTAGTCCTCGTCCAGGAGAATACAAAATTAAGTTTCTAATGTATTTGTTGGCTGTGTGTATTAAGTTAGGCAATACCATCACGTTTTCAACAACATCCATGAGTTAACGAGAGTTTCATGAATAATTAATAAGATATGTTATTATATCATAAAAGCTTTAAACACTATATAGAACAGTACCTCCCTGCCTGCCTGCCTGCCTGGTTTTGACGCTGATGATGTTCATTCATTGATTTTCAGGTATTGTCCACTCTGTAAAAATGACACTTCAGAGGTAAGGTGTAACAATATTGTTTGTTCAGGCTCTCAGGGCCCACACTGGGTAAAGTTCCCAGATGGTTGCTTGTGCCCTGCTCTGTAAGCACATGTAGTTGAGAAAGCTTTCTTGTGAGTTGTGGTCTACGGCTTCTTTCAAGTTCCTTGCCTCACGACTATAGTACATGGGTATTGGTTAATAACTTGATCAGTATGCAGAGGCATATACCTACCACTAATGCACGCAAAGTATGCACATTTCAAATCAGCGGCTAAGCATGTATGTCAGGGTGGACAGTGAAACAATATGTATGCCAGTAACCTTGAATTTGAAAGTCTACCATAAGTTGTTTTATTTTAGGTTACATTGTTGGTCACATTAAGAGTTTTGGATGGTTCTAGGGAGTGGCCATGCCCTTTTATCGAAAATAACCTTTGGAACTGAAGCCATATGTAAAAATCCACTTGTTAAATTTTTATTGTAAGGTCTACTTCCCTCTGTCCCAACCAGTACATTTTAGATACCATTACAAAAATCAGTTTAGGTCATTCCTTTTTTTTTTTTTTTTAATTATAGTTCTCTTTTGTTTCTATAGATTATCCACGCTGGTGAGAAACTAAGGGAAAGCAAAAAGAAACAAAAAATGGCATCTGCAAATTCAGCTTCAAACAGAGATTGGGGAAAGGTCTGTTACTGAGTAGAAATTGTTTTATGCTTTCACTTTCAAGATGGCTAAACATTTGACAAATAAAGAAAAAACGAAATTTCCAAGCTAATGTACTGCAAAAAATGGTAGCACTTCTTTAAAAGCGAGAAAATGGAAGTTTTAGCATGTCAGCATTAGTGTTTTCATTGCCTTCAGTGCAGCATCAGGTAATTCTCGTCAAATTTCTTTCCTTGGTGGGATTCTGCAAGCTACGCTGTTATCTAAAAAGTATCATAAATTACTTATTTTAATTAAAATTCGTTAATTATTATTATTGTTTGACACACCAACTCTATGGTCCAAACTCTATATCTTCTGAGTGTAAATATTTTTTTGTAACAGAAGTCTTGAGGCCTGTTGCCATAAACGCCATTCTAAACCTCTCTTTGTCGTGTTGTGTTTTGTAGGGTATGGCTTGTGTTGGTCGCACAAAAGTATGTTCTATAGTGCCTCCAAACCATTTTGGACCTATCCCTGGTGTGCCTGTTGGATCAGCGTGGAAGTTCAGGGTTCAGGTTTGTTGCTGGAGACCTTTAGATTGTAAGACAAAACGAATACGAGAACTTCTCAACACTAAGTAGTGCGCGCACGTGAACCAGCGTCATTTTGGCGGGAAAACGTGATAGCCGTCATCTTTCTACTACGGGTTTTAGCGAGAATACGGTGTTTAAGCAGCGACGTTTTTGAGCGACGCACGTCAACCGGACGTGAGCCTTTTTCTCTTTTAATATGCCTTGACGCTACGAAATTTGTATTGCTAAGTGTCTTTACTCTTAAAGAGAAAATTTGCCTAAAATCATGTTCAAAATCACGGCTCAAGAGTGCAGTAAGTCAACTTCCGGTTTACATGCGTCGCTCAAAAACGTCGCTGCTTAAACTCCATAATGTCGTAGTGACGGAAACAAGTTATCAATTGATAGAAGTTTTATCATTTTGTGATCGGGAGAGGGCTTAACCTCCTTCAATAAAGATAACAGTGCTAACTTTTCTGGTGAGTCAAAAGTACAATGAAGCTTTCCAGGGTGCCTATATTTTTTAAGAATACGCGAAAAAAACTTTCAGTCAAATTTCGTACTCGTAGTCGTTCTCTACTGTTATAGACTACAGTCGAACTAAATTTTCTCTTGCACGCTTTATTTTGACTTACAAAACTCATTCGCATTAGTTTACTTCTTAACTGCCATTGTAGAAGTACGCCGCTCTTGCTACATTTGAAATTATCACCTTAAAAATTCAAAGATAAACTTCGATGGGCAACTTGTACAGGTGGAAGTGATCTTTCGAACTATGCCCAAATGCCTGCGATTTGGGTTTACGGGTCAGCCTTTTCCCGGCACCAAGATAGTGATGTATGGAGATCCTGAAAGCTGATGCGAAAAACGCGTTGGGTTTTCCCACCACCACTCCCTTCCCTTCGGTAAAGCGGGCAACAAAAATTTTCAACTGTGTGCAACATTGCTTCCAAACGACTTAAAAAGCAAAGTTGTGCGTGTCACCACCTTTTTTCAAACCTGTCTTGCAACAGTAAACACTTAGGCCTCGGTTTAGGAAATCTTTAGACCTCCAGATCTCTTTCTTCTTGTTGCCCGTCTTGCCGTCCTGTTATTTTCGCCTGACTTTGTTCCACAACCTCCCCACTATTTGACAGCCTGGCACAGGCTATACAGCCATGTGAAATTTCACGTAATTTTGACGTGTAAATTTTAATACAAATCGACCCGACTGTACTTTCTGATTGTTCAAGGTTCCGTGGCATTTTTGGCAAATTGTTTCAATTGATTGCTTCTAAAGCATCTCGTAAAAACCACAGGAAATTCCCTCTTTTTTATGTTAGGTGAGTGAAGCAGGAATTCACCGGCCTCATGTGAGTGGTATTCACGGTCGAGATTCTGATGGTGCTTATTCTATTGTATTAGCTGGTGGATACGAGGATGACTTGGTAAGTTGACCCTTTTACTGCCTGGTATTGTAAAATCCTACAATTTAAATGGTACTACCAATAGTTCGGCTAAAGAGGATTTCTCCTTCAGGTTAAAAAGTTTGAGTGAAAAATCATCGCTCCATAGCTTGTTCTAGGAATGAAATCGTTAGAGTGTTACAATATGCGAGCCAGCGAGGCAGACGTGCGAGGCAGATGTTTCAGGCATGAACAAAACATGCGATCGGAGAAACGCATCGGAGAAACGTTAAGATCGGTCATATCAATGCCAACAGCATAGCCGGCTTTAAATTCCACGAGATCAAAAACTGGCTTATGCGCGGAAGGTTCGACATCTTGGCCATCTCTGAAACAAAGCTGGATAAAACATATCCTGACAGCCAGTTTGCCATTCAGGGTTTCCGTATGTGCCGATCGGATAGAAATATTTATGGCGGTGGGGTTATGATATTCGTACGAAGTGATCTGTGTTTCACTGTGACAAAAAAGCTTGGAGACCAAAATGGTATCGATACGTCAAACTTTCAGGACTGAACACATCATACTGAAAGTGAAGGTAGCAAAATCTTGGCTCACTGTTATGGCGATTTACAGGCCTCCATCTATTCCAACATCTCAGTGGAAATTTGAACTGAGCAGGTTATTTGAAGTTGTTACGACTTTTCCAAACGATGTCATCTGCGTTGGAGACTTCAATAGTAATCTGTTGGATCCTAAGGACAGTGGTCACTTAAAAGATTTACTGGAAATATACGGTCTCAAAAATTTGATTAAATTACCCACTCGTATAGGCAAGACATCGTCAACTTTACTCGACTTGATTTTAACAAACAACACAAGAAGAATATTTTCATCGGGCGTAGTGGATGCTCATATCAGCGATCATTCTCTAATATATACTATTTTGAGAACCACAGCTCCGCGATTGCGATCTCGCAAAATACAACTGAGAAGTCTAAAGAATTTTGACCAGGATTTATTTTTACGTGATTTACATAATGTCCCTTTCCACGTTATGGAGGTGTTTGACGATATTGACGATAAACAATACGTGTTTGAGTCACTGTACCTTGACATTCTAAACGAGCACGCACCACAAAAGCAAGCACACATAAGGGGCAATCAAATTCCTTTCATGAACGAACAATGGCGTAAAGCCATTCGTCACCGCAACAAACTTTGGAAGAAGTTCACGCATCAGAGGACCGACGCTAATTACGCCGAATATAAGAAACAAAGAAACAAATGCACGTCAATTAGGCGCAAAGCGATTAAAGATCATTTTAAAAACAAGTCAGAGACCGACAATCCACGTGCATTTTGGGAGGCTTATCGTCCTTTTATGCATTCGAGGTCCAGTAAACAAGCCAATGACATCACACTAATTGAAAACGATGTGGTTATTACGGATAAGAAAGAACTAGCTGAATTGTTCAACAACTATTTTGTTCACATCGTTGATGATGTACAGGACATTAAAGAAAATAACTTTGGAAATGAATTCAGTGCACACCCCAGCATTCGAGCAATTGCAGAGGAAAACAGAAGAAAGAACGCCACACATAATTTTAATTTTAAATACACCAATAAGACCCAGGTTGAAAAACTACTATCAAACATCAACGCACGCAAGGCCTGCGGCCACGACACCATAACTCCGCGGCTTCTTAAGGAATCCGCTTCTGCGATATCTGGTCCACTAGCAGAGTTAATGAATGAATCGATCAAACAATGCAAATATCCTTCTCGATGGAAAATGGGGCAGGTTACACCTCTTTTCAAGAAAAATGATGAATTGAGTAAAGAGAATTATCGACCCGTTACTGTTTTACCGGCCCTAAATAATGTTTTTGAGAAACTTCTTGCTTCTCAACTAGACCAGTTCTATTCTGAAATATTGTCTGACTACATCTCAGCTTATAGGAGACACTATAGCTGTGAAACCTCGCTAATGAGGTTAACAGAAGATTGGAAGCGTAGTCTGGATAATAAACAAATTGTTGCAGTGATATCAATGGATTTATCTAAGGCTTTCGACACGATACCGCATGGACTCTTGCTGGCCAAGCTGAAGGCCTATGGTGTTAACAGTAGAAGTTGTATGCTTCTTAAAGATTACTTACAAGGTAGGATGCAGCGGGTGAAAGTAGGTGATACAAGTTCTGATTGGCAAGAAGTCATGCGAGGGGTACCTCAAGGCAGTGTTCTTGGTCCAATGTTTTTTAATATTTTCATAAATGATTTATTCCTACAAATCAAAACTGTACAATTAAATATGTATGCAGATGATGGTCAACTCTACACCGCCGATACGGATCCGGTATCTTTGGAAAGGCGTATCTCGCGTGAGGTTAGCTCAGCAAATGCCTGGTACGAGATCAATGGAATGATAGCAAATCCCAGCAAACACCAAGGGATGATACTAGGAAAAACTGACCATCAGTTTAATTTCTCAGTAAATGACTCAGTGGAACTTTTCGGCGTTACAATTGATAAAGATCTTACGTTTAAGCAACATGTGTCCTCTATATGTAAAAAGGTAAACAATCAGTTTAGCGTTATGTCAAGGTTTGGCAAACTGATGTCTACTGAAACCATGCTCCGTCTTTATAAGGCATTTATACTTCCTCACTTTTATTATTGTTCTATGGTGTGGCATTTCTCTAGTAAACAAGATTCTGATAAACTGGACCTTTTAAACAAACGTATTCTTCGATTTATTTTCAAGGATTTTAACTCTGAGTACAATAATTTACTTAAAAAGGCAGGAACTGCAAACCTTAAGGACAAGCGTTTACAAAACATGATTCTCACTATTTTTAAATGTCTTCATTTTTCTGATTATCCAAGATATTTAAAAGATATGTTTCGTTTACGCTCTAGCACCTATTTTTTAAGAGGACATAATATGCTCTGTTTGCCCAAACCATCGACCACTTCTTATGGTATCAATTCCTTTAGTTACTTGGCAGCAACATCTTGGAATTCTCTCCCTGACCATTACCGCACTATTTCTGATTTTACTTCTTTTCGACGACTGATATCTACTGGGAACAATAATTTACTTAAAAGGGCAGGAACTGCAAACCTTTCTACATCATGATAATTTGCAAGTTAGTTGTCTAGGTAGTTAGTTATCATTTTTGCTATATATAATTAACTTTTTATTATAATTATTTATTAATGTAGTTGGCTCGAAGATATTAGCACTTGAGTGCTACACTGTAAATTCGAGGGTAAATAAAGTTTATTGATTGATTGATTGATTTGATGCGAGGCAGTGATAACATGTAATGAAATGAGGTCCACGCTTGGATGGACAAGCCTCAAATAAACGGCAGCTTTTTCCCGCGTAATTGGACCCCGAGGGCAAGATTAGTTCCCGCCAAAACTGCTCACTTTAACTTCAGCGTGAACGCCATTTTTGTCAAAAAGGTGAGTGCACTTCAAGTGTTTCACAAGTACGCTTGAACACTTAGGAGCCTAGTGTGACCCTACCTGTTGATGCCTTTGTACACAGGAATACTGGAAAAGTTTCTTTTGGAGATATGATAAGTAGTTTTATCTTTTGATTTTGTGGACCAAGTCCTATACTACAGTCGAACGTGCGCCAGTATGCACCTCCTTTATACCCGCTATCTTGTTATTTCGTTAGGATAATGGAGAAGAGTTTTTCTACACTGGAAGTGGTGGGCGAGATCTTTCCGGAAATAAGCGCACAGCTGAGCAGTCATGTGATCAAACGTTGACAAAGATGAATAGGTAGTGATAATCAACAGGGAAGATTTAAAGAAGGCGGCGGCAGCGAGAAAATTTGCTTGAAAAGTGAATTCTCCTTCTTTGAATCTTCAACGCCATTACGCCAACTCATTTACTTGGTCAAATGTTGGCGACCTCATGGGAGTTGAATTCCTAAGAAAAATTTCCATGTTGAGAAGTTTTGTCGTCGCTTGCTTACGTCCTCCTTAAAACGTGAAATTGAAAATTATTCCAACTAAGGAACTTACCTTGTCAAATGTAGGCGAACTCTCCTGGAGTTGAATTCAAAAAGACCATTTCCAAGTTCAGCAAAAGAAAGGAAAAATTTTCGTCGTCGCTTGTTTACGTCTTCCAGAAAGCGTGGAAAGAGGAATTTTCATGTCTACCTCGTGCAGTGACAAAAAAGCGTGATGCACGTGCAGAGTTGTTGTTTTGCATATTATTTAAACCTATTGCTTTTTTTACCTTCTCGTTTCCGTCGCCGTCGTCGTTACTTAAAGCCCCGTGCAAATGAACGCAACATTAGCCTGCGAGCATCTCCGGGTTGCTCTGGCGGCGGAGCGGGAAAAGGAAAGAGAGCTTGCAACTTCGTCCCTGGATTTTGAATATCTGCGTCGAAAAAGTCGATGCGAAATGCTGATTGGCGGAGATGACATTAGTTATGACGTCATTACCCCTTGGCACGTGTTTTTCAATGTTTGTTTACATTCGCGCTCGATTCCGCTTCTCGCTGATTGGCGGAAATCTGACAGCTCAGTCGACAGGGAACAACAGGCGAATTGGAGATGGAATTCAAATTCCAGAGACGTAGTTGCAGGCTCTCCTTCCTTTTCCCACCATGCCGCCAGAGCGCCCCGGAGAGCTTGCTCGCAGACTAACTCAACAATGTTGGATGTTACACGTTGCATCCGTTTGCACACCCTGTTAATGTTGTTGCGTGTTGTTGGGAGTTGTTCTGCAAAGTATGGAACCGATCAAACGTTCAGAAACAATGTTGGAAGTTTTTGCGCCCGTTTGCACGTAGCTTTAAGAGCTGGTTAAGGCTCAACATCGATGTGTCGAGCGTTGCACTTAATGTATTAAACAGTTAGTTGTAGGACGTTTTATGTTCCAGGGCACTTGCAAAAAATTGTGCAGCACCCTTGAGTGACAAGGAAGGAGGGGAAGCTAAGAACTGGAAAGAAGGCAAAGCTGTGAGAGTTGTAAGTTTCGGATCAATTTAGGTTATTGTAAAACTGCCCACCTACCCTACCCCTAACCCAACATTTTGCCCTAAGTGAGAAGTACGTTTTAATGTTGATTTAGGAGAGGGGTAGGTGGGCAGTTTCCCAGACTGCCTAAATTGATCAAAGTGTATTTATAACTTCAAGTTTTTAACTTAGTGTTGGGCTGGAGAGCTACCGACATCCTGAAATATTAAATTACGAAGTTAAAAATGCCAGGAAGATAGATTCAGTAAAATAATTTAAATATTCTTATCGTAGGTACAAAAACCGCTGAAACGGAAGTACAACGGTGGTTACAACAACCGTTTCTGAAACTAAAAACTTTTTGAACCCTTTTCCATGCCTTTACGTCACAGGTTATTGAAGTTAAGCCAATGACCCTGTCTCTCCTTTATCCATCCTCATGCTAGACTGCGAGCAGTCTCTTGAAAGTTTTTCTTTAGATTTAGTGAGGGAGTGCACCATGAGACGCGAGAAACGAGGGCGGCTCTCCCGTCTCCCGCCTTCAGTCATGCGCGTGGTCATTTTGGTGTCTCGCGAGTTTGCTCGACGGAGAAAGAAAAAAGAGACACTGCTCGTAGTCCATCCTTATTCTTAATTTTTAAGGTTTTTTTCATCCATCATGTTACAGGTCAGAAGTAGCAAGTTGGCTAAGCACTCAAAATACGCTCCAGCCGATGGCAACAGATATGACGGAATATACAAGGTAAGTACAGCCAGACAATGTACTCCCCCGAGCAGGTTTGACTTGGGTTAAAAAAATAACCCAACGGATAAGCCAATGAGGTGAGGTTCACCGTTGCTGAGAAATTATTCTTCCGTGGATTACCTTAAACTGTAATATTCAACAAATAGTCGTTTTTTCTTTAAAAAGTATTTGAAAACTTACCACTTTTTTCTTTTACACGATCTTTTCAATACATTTTTACCTTTTTTTGTTTTNCCCGCCTTCAGTCATGCGCGTGGTCATTTTGGTGTCTCGCGAGTTTGCTCGACGGAGAAAGAAAAAAGAGACACTGCTCGTAGTCCATCCTTATTCTTAATTTTTAAGGTTTTTTTCATCCATCATGTTACAGGTCAGAAGTAGCAAGTTGGCTAAGCACTCAAAATACGCTCCAGCCGATGGCAACAGATATGACGGAATATACAAGGTAAGTACAGCCAGACAATGTACTCCCCCGAGCAGGTTTGACTTGGGTTAAAAAAATAACCCAACGGATAAGCCAATGAGGTGAGGTTCACCGTTGCTGAGAAATTATTCTTCCGTGGATTACCTTAAACTGTAATATTCAACAAATAGTCGTTTTTTCTTTAAAAAGTATTTGAAAACTTACCACTTTTTTCTTTTACACGATCTTTTCAATACATTTTTACCTTTTTTTGTTTTCAATCACCCTCCTATGCCTTTCTTTTCTGATCTTCGTTAATTAGTATAAATGTTACAGAATATCATAAATTTATCAAGGTAAATATTTTATTCTACAGGTTGTGAAATACTGGCCCGAGAAGGGTAAATCGGGATTCATTGTGTGGAGATACCTTCTACGCAGAGATGACGAGGTACTGTGCACCGTTTGGATGAAAGTTGTGTAGTCCTTGTTGTTAATTGAGTGAATACTGACTTCTGATTGGATAAAATTATGTGGGAGTCACGCAGTACTCGGGAGTTAAGTCACGTGTTGCAAAACAAGTTTACCCTGGGCCGGTCAAACGAGCAACATGTACAGATTTTGTTGCAAAAGCAGGGTTCGTAAAGGTCATTGAAAACCTGGCAAGTCACGAAATTGAAAAATTTCATTTCCCAGGACTGGAAAGTAATCGAATTTAACTGTACACCCCCTACCCTCCCCCCCCCCAATTAATTTTCGTACGGTTAAGTTGGTTCGCTGTGAACGTGTGAACGCACGAACTATCATCCGGGCGAAAATTTCTTCGGCGTCGATTAATGTGACACTGATTCACTCAACAGACGCCTGCTCCATGGACAAAAGAGGGAAAGAAGTTAATACAGGAGCTTGGACTGAAGATGCAGGTGCGACAAACTTTGTAACCCTGTAACTCTCGAGAATCATTTCATCACTACATAAACCGGGCCGGGGTTCTGCAGAGTTGGACTGTCCTCCTAATGCAGTAATAGGGAGCTTAAGCAACTACGATGACGACGACAACTTCAAAAAACAATTGGTTTAATGTTCAAAACAACAGCTCTGCACGTGCATCACGCTTTTCAGTACATTTCTTTGACGTCCACTGCACGACTACGACGTCAAACCTCCTAATTTGACGTTTTATGGAGGACGTGGACATACGACGACAAATTTTCCTTCCTCTTTTTGAACCTGAGTAAAATCCTTAAGAATTCAACTCCAGGAAAAGTCGCCTACATTTGACATTCTTGGCGGGTACAATTAGACGTGATTAGGTTTGAAAGAACTCAAATTCATTTTTTTGGCGACGTTTCCACTGCCGTCGTCGTCGTCGTTGCTTAAGGTCTCTAACACCAACGGCAATTGGTTTAGAAAAGCAAAACAGCAACTCTTCACGTACATCACGCATTTTTCTGTACATTTCTTTGCTGTTGTTGCACGACCACGGCCCCGTAATATCCAAGGACAACCATTCACCAATCATTGCAGTAATTAGCTACCCCAACGACGGCGATCACTGGGTAGGAACAAGAGCCATAATAGGACAGAGAGGGAGTCTCCCACTCACGCCTTTGGGATATCTTGATTTCAAAAAAGTTATTTTTAGAACTATGGGGACCATGCGGAAACAGTTTCTGGTAAACTGGTTGACTTCCGGAAGATTCAGCACGCCAAAGCGAGGCGGGGTCAATAAATGAAAAAAAATGGCTGCCTAAGTGGAGGGACTACTATGGCTCCTGGTAAGAAATTTATTGAATTATTTTGTCAGTATCCTGAAGGTTTTCTGGAGGCGCAAGCTAAGAAAGAGGAAGAAAAGAAAAAACAACAGAAAGATAAAGAGCAAGACAAGGAATCGGAAAAAGGCAAAGGGAAAGGAAAGGGCAAAAGAAAACGAGATGAAGGTTACTGCTGCATCTTACTTTTAATTACTTTAACAATTTTAAAATGTAACCTTCTTAACCCTTTAAGTCCCAACAGTGACCAACAGCAATTTTCTCCTAATAATATCCATACATTATCATGAGATGAGGTTATGAGAATTCATTAAATGATCACCTAAGAGAAAATACTTTGATCTTTTATCAAATTCTCTCAACTCATTCTTTAAGGAAATGTATAGAGATCAGTTTAAAGAATTTGTACGTGGATATTGGGGCTTAAAGGGTTAAAAGGTCCCAGATTTTTCAGTATCGTAGCTTTCGACTGTATCGCACAGTTTTCATCAGCAATGAACTCTCAGTGCAGTGTTATCACGTCAATTAGTCACCTGACAACAAATGATTAAATAATAACCCCAAGGGTTATTATTAAGGGTTAGGGTTGGACGCTGGCATCTGACACTGATGGGCTCCTGGTCAAGAATCTTCATCCATTCCCAGTCGATCTCATGGCTGGCTTTGGACTGGTGTTCCCAGATTGCGGATGTTGTTTGCGTTTAGTGTTCGCCCAGTGTCCAAGAAATATTTACCCCTTATGTAAAATTAAAGGATTTCAGAATATTGGTTAAAGAAAATTGCTACTTAAAAAGTCCTGGGTAAGATTTCCTGCTTGTAACGGCAAACGAAGGTATCTCCCAAGATGTCTAAATTAAGGATTAGAAGGAGAAGGTTGGGTAAGGTTGTCCTTCTTTCAACAAATTCAACAATTTGAGGTATACATCTTTACTTAGAATAAGCTTGCGTGGTAGGTGATCTTAAAGGGAAAACGGTGCGCACAAGAGCATCTGCCACAAGCTAACGAAAATTTTATATTGTTGAAAATTGTTTTTTGAGGATCTAGCGGAATTTCATGTGTTTTTCAAAGGTGAAGCTAGTCCGCAAAAGTCGCCTCCTTCGAAGAAGAAAGGATACAGATTAACAGCAGAAACAAAGGCGTTACTTGATGCTGATACGGCAAATTCAAAGCTTTGGACTGAAGTAACGACGGCACTTCAAGACTATCCCGTGAGTATTGTGCTTCTTAGACACGCTTCTAAATTGAGTTGAACCCATCGCACCTCAGTTCCCGACCCCGGGGGGGACTCCCATTTGAAAGGGGCGGGGATGCTCGTGGGAAATTTTGAATTAAACCCCTAAAGGAGACCAGTCTGTGCTTGGTCCAACCTTGTTTGACCCCTAAAAGAGACCGTTTCAAAGTTTGATTACATTAATCGAGTAAATGAATTGAAAATATATAATTTTTTTCATATTTCTTCGCGTGCAACCCTGAAAGAGGCTAATTATAATGGCGTTTTCATTTTGTTTATTTATTTCGCTGTCAATATCATGAGCTTCCGTGTACTGACCGTCCATTGCCAGATAAGCTCGCCAGAGGCAATTATATTATTTACTCTACTAAAACCCCTTACAAAGATGTATAAGCCCAGACCTTATAAACGGCAGTTTACTGTATTGTATTTAGAACAAGCAGTAAAATGGAATTGTGTAGTAATGTATTTTGTTTTATTCCTTGTAGACATTTATTCAAAAAGTAGAAGAGAGTTTCACTTGTATCTGTTGTCAAGATGTCGTTTATCAACCAATAACTACTAAATGCTTTCATAATATCTGCAAGGTGAGTTATTCCTGTATAACAGTCTCTGAAATTGCTCATCAAATGTAACACTCGTCGCACTAGTCCTCGAGCGTGAGATAATTGCTTCCATAAGACAATGCTCAGAAAATCGTCGAGGCTTTCCCTCTACTATCACCCATAACCTCCCACGCAGACTTTCTTAGGGCTTCGTCACGCGTTCCTGTTCCCACGAGGAAGGGGAGGATTGCGTGACTAACCAAAAGAACGTCTACGAAGAAGGCCATATCACCCAGAGAGGATTCTATTTTGCCAACTTGGAGGCAAAATAGACCAATTTCGATATACTGAAATTCATACTTTGCTCCGAGGCTTGAGGGAATAACTAATAATGACTAATACATATCTTTTGTTTTATTCCTCAAGCCTCGGAGCCAAGAATGAATTTTTCTAAGACAGTATCGAAATTGGTCTACATGTGCAAAGATTACACTTTTTCCATCGTCGTTCGGAGACTATCGTCATTCCCTGTTTTAGAGTACCTTTCCTCAACAAAGCGGCTTACGGTCGTGAACAGCAAAGTTTTTTTAAATGAGATTGCATTTTGTTGATTAATAAATGCATTTTGTTACAAAATGAGTTGCTTCCTCTTATTGGTATTATGTAATATAATGTTACAAATGTTAAACTGCTTTGCATTTCATTATGGTACTACATATATTATGTTATGTTGTGATGCATTATGCCACAGTGATTTACGTTGATATGCCATTTCGTGACAGAACGATACGTTACGTGAACTTTTGTTATATTACGTTATGTTTTATGCATCAATCGACGTAACAGAATATCACTCCAAGTATTTAAGTTTGTTGCGATGCGATAGCAGGATAGAAGTCATCTTTTAGACCAGGAACGTTTAGCACAATAAAGTATTACATGTTTTGTTTGTTTTGTTTTAGAGTTGTCTCCAGCGATCGTTCAAAGCAGAGGTTTTTAGTTGTCCAGCTTGTCGTACTGAACTTGGGAAAAACTACAAATTGACAGTGAATACTTCTTTAGACGCTGCTCTTAAACATTTATTCCCCGGTTACACCAAGGGTCGGTGACAGGAATTCACGTCTGTTGTACTTTTAAAACGTTAGGTGGCTGTTAGCTGCCTTAATTGTGACAAGGCTTCAGAAGTAGCTCCTTCCGTCATGTTTTCGGCATATGCATATATATTGTCGGAAGTCAACAGGAACTAGTTTAGCGTCGAGGTTGATGTGGGGATTATGAGCAACTTTTCCCGCCACTCCCGAGAATGCCAGTT